GTATAAAGGATATCTCCGCTTTACTGAACGATTGATCCCTTCTGTAACAAATATCTTCTGCGGAGATTTCCGTTCTTCCTCTTCCTTGATATCAATATTTGATAAGTCCGTATTTTGACACGCATTTGATGTGTGTTGAGATCGGATTTTGATAGTTTCCCTAGCTTTAAAGTGTTGCAAGTCTCAATTTTAGCTCAAGTTATGTTTACCGGGCGTTGGTTCGAGTTTTGTGTTGTTTGTAGTCAAAATCAGGGAATTTGAGCCTGGTACCGGCACTTGAGGAACAATCGGGATGACTTGAGAAGCATTTGAGAATGATTTGATAGCTTTGGAGGTCACCGGAAGATTCACGATGAAGATTTGAAGGAAAAAGAGCTCTAGGATTGGCTTCGGGATCAAAAGAAGATGAATGAAGCTTGAAAACGACGATCAGGATGACCTTCTGTCAATCGTTCAAGCATATCTCTTTGTAGAAACATCCAATGTACACGATTAAAGTTTCATATGAAAGATAACTTCAAGGGCTACAAATCATATGAAGACATCTTTGATAGAATCTGAGAGGAAGAAGGTGAAAACAGACGATGAAGTCAGATGATCTCTGCTGCGATTTCAGAAAGACACCTTCCACCGTTGTGATCATATCTCTTGATTGGATGATTCAAATCACATTCGGCAAATTGGGGTGGATAGAGGACTTCATTATCTACAACTTTCATGAAGGAAGTTTTGTCAAATTCGGAAGTTAAGTAGGCACTAACGTGCCCTCAAAGTCAGGCACGATCGTGCCTGAAGAGAAAAGCACCGCGGAGCTACTGCCAGCCAGGCACGATCGTGCCTGCCCAAAATGCGCGTTTTTGCTCCGGAGGCACGATCGAAGGCACGATCGTGGCTGGCATCGTGCCTGGCTCCGAAAATCCTAATTCAACTCAAATTTCACCCGATTTTTCTATTTAAACAGCCTGTAAACCCCCGTTTTCAAGGGGGGAGCTTAGAGAGAGTGCCTAGCACGAATTTTAGAGGGATTTTCAGCCTTGTTCATCAATCTTTTGGGATTCTTTGTAAGTTCCACCTTTTTAATTAATGACAATTAATTCTTTTTATTCCAATTCTATTGATTCTTCAATTATGAATTGTGAGTAGTTTTAATTAGGGATTTGAGATTGATGAAGGGGTTAATCATGATGTATGGCTAGATTATTGTCGGTTTAATTGCATGAATGCCGTTTAATTTGTGTTTGAATAATTTAATTGATATCTTTTGTAACCTAGAATCGCGACTAGAATTACAATTGCATGTAGAATAAATTAAGAGGGATCTAATTTGTTCTAGGACACATTCACACACACTTAATCGTTTGCTAAGAGATTAGTAGCGATTAAGGGGCCGTAAGCTCGCTCGTCTTGGCAATAATTTAGGATCCTGTCGCATGAGAGATCAGCCTGGTCCCCTAAAGTATTGTACTCTACGCCGCGAGAGCGGTAAGAACTTAGTAATGATTAGCTAGACTCAATTAAATTAATTTCATGTAATTAGGCCTGATCTGCCAGAAATTTGGTTACCCCGGAATCGATCCCTGTTCCCTTCGTCATTAATTAGAAAGAACCCCCTAGTTTAATTGTTCGCATTAGTTTTATTTTTCCAGCAACCAATCTCGCACGACGCATTTTTATTTATTTGTTTTTAATCGCTGAATTTAATTAATTCTTGATTCCCTTTTGTCCGTCCCAGTGGAGACGATACTCGTACTTACACCACTATATTACGATCTATTTTAAGTGCGAGAAAACACTCATCAGTTTTTGGCGCCGTTGCCGGGGACGGTGTCGGTTTTAAGGGTTAATTAATTTCAGCGAGATTTTTTTTTAGTTAGTTTTCTTTTTGTTCTTCGTAGGATTTTCTGTGCTAACCTTTCAGGGTTTTTTCAAAGAGGCATGAGATGAACCCATTCAGCCAAATTCCTGGAGGAAGTCCTTTTCCCCAAACCTCCATGGAATTTTCACCATATACGCTATACCCTCCTTACACTCCTCCTCCTCAATATTACACACCTCATCAAAATTACTCTCCTACGCCACAAAATATTCAGCCTTCTTATCCGTACACTCCAACCACTCAACCCTGTCATTCTGATTCTTACTATCCTTCATCACAATACCCTTGGGTAAGCGTAAGATGAGGCTCCATTCTTGAATTTATATTTCTAAATAAAACGCCTGAGGAAATATCTGAATGTTTTAAGGGTAGCATTTGTTCCTTCTGTGGAGGAGGTCACCATTTATGTCTTTGCCCCATCAAACCTCTATATGACCATCCTTTCCGGGAAACTGCTTACCCCACTTCTTCCTCCCCACAATTTACGAACACAAATGTTTCAGTCACTCCTATGTCTTTGCCGAGCTATGAACCACAGGATGAATGGGAAGAGATAATTTCAGAGAAGCTGTCTGACCTGGAAGAAACACTCAAGCAATTCATGCAAACAACTGAGACAAATTAACAATTAACACAGTCAAGACTTCAGAACATCCAAAATCACTTGGATCAACTGTTTAACGCCATATCTGAGGAGTCCGAGAGATCCTATCCTAGCGACACAGAAGCCCAACCTGAGGAGACCAATATGGATGATCACGTGAGCGAGTCAGACTATGATGATGGGAATATGATGGATGATACACTTCCTGATGTTTTTGAAGACCCTGATGAGAACAGTGTTAACGAGAGTTGGGATGCCTTCATGGGGAGTGATACAGAGTCTGGAGGAGAGGTTGTGAATGTTCATGATATTTGTAAGGAAGAAGAAGACTTTTCTATGGTGCAGTTTGATTACGGTGTTGCCCCTACTCTTTGCTTTGAGACATGTTTTGAGCTTCCAGTGACACCTAGGTAGTGTTTGCAATTGCTTCAACTTTAAAAAAGTGATTTTTTAAAGTGATTTTGGAAAAAGTGATTAATAGTAAAAGTTGGTAGTGTTTGAGAAAAAAAGTGATTCTAAAAAAGTAAAAGTTGGTAGTGTTTGGTAAAATAAGTGCTTTTTGTGTAATAGAAAAAGTGAAAAGCAGTTTAAAGCACCCTTCTACCTGCTTCCAGCTTTTAACTTTTAAGTGATTAATTTAAGCAGAAGCTGTCATTTGAAAACACTTTTTTCAACTTTTTTAAAGTCAAAAGCTGAAAAGCGCTTTTTTTAAACAAACCCAAACACTTCTCTAGAGTAATCAAAGTTTTCACTCATGTTCCCTATCCACCTGAAGAGGATGACAGTTTCATACTTCACTTCTGCGCTGATGAGGGTTATGAAGACCATATGCTGCCTACGTGGACTGAAGAATTTAAAGATCCGCGACACCTAATGGCATTTGTTGAGAAGAAGCTGGAAACATTGATTATTAGTGCACCACTGCTGTCTTTGCTATTTGAGAGCATATGAGGAAGTTGCGTCGGGCAAACGACGTTAAAAATAGTGCTACTTGGGAGGCAACCCAAGCTTATTTCTGCACTTTTGTTTTTGTTTGTTTGTTTGCTTTCAGAACCCTCCCCCCCAAAAAAAAACCCGAAAAAAAAAATCCGGGGTGTTTTTTTTTTGGTTTGTTTTTGTGTTTGTGTGTTTTGTTTTTGCAGCTCAGGGTCTTGCTTTAGGGATGATGTGCCGAGGATCACTTTACTCAGTTTAGTTCTGCACCGACCAGCGCCTTAGGGAAGTTTCTGCGACTCTTTTAATCGCCTTTTTGTAATAATTGACTTGAGTTAAGTTGAGCACGCGTGACCCTATCCTCTTTACCCCCTTGTGCATAGTGCATTTTTGGTCATCGGGGACGATGCCAAAGTTTAAGTGTGGGGGAGTGAATTGGACATTCGGGCAGTAGTTGCTACATGTGATTTTTAGAGTTAGAATGCGCAAGTGTTAGTTGATATTCATAGGAAATTCATGCAAAATTTTTGAAAATTTTTCTTTAAAATGTGTCTTTGTGAGCTGGCTAGCGTTTTGACTATGCTTTTAGAACATCTTTGAAGTGTTTAGGCTTAAATTGCTAGCACTATAATCTAGTTGTTGAGAGGAGGAAGGCATTAGTCACCCATGAATTTTCCATTAATCATCCACCCCACCTGAAAAAGTCCTGTAGGAGAAGCCATTTTGAGCCTGACCGTTCTTTGTTTGGTGGTTTCTCCACCGGGTAAAAAAAGTAGGTTAAGGGGATGAATTTGGGAATTGATCCCTCACATACCCTTACTATAGGTGCCTAAGGAATAGAAAGGTAATGTTGCAAAGAAATAAATTTAAGAAAAAACAAATTAAGAGCCCTCTGATAAGAATGTAGTTGATTGAATCGGTTGGTTTCGCTGAAATTTATGAAGTTTTGATTGAAGTGATAAGATTGGATGATTTTACCAAATCATGAAAAAATATGTTCTAAATATACTAAATTAATAAAGTAAATCAAAAGTTATATGAAAAATAGCTAAAATAGTCTTCTATAGTAACTTCAGTGATCAATCCAAGTAAACAAGTAAATTCAAACTTAATTTATCTATGATTATACAAGTCAACATGTGAAATCAAAAGTCGCGTAAGCGGGCTTTGCGATAATATTTTTTGCTTACTTTGGTAGCGTAAGATGTGACACGTACAAGTAAAGGGAGAGGGAGCTTGCAGGTAGGTACAGGAATTGAGGTAGGTTATGGTGGTTAATTAAGATGTAATTAGTTGATTGTTAAGAGGGATTATATTAGTGAAGAAGAGAAAGCAGATGGAGCTTTAATTAATTTATGTCGAGGAGAGGGGGATGCAGCTAGCTTTATTGTTTTGCTTTATGGATGGGATGTGTTGTAGCGCAGTGCAGGTATTGAGGTTAGTTGTACGTACAAGCAAGTAGTGGGCTTGCTTGCTTGCTTTGGTGGTCAGTTAAAGTAAGGAGCAAATCCCGGGCCTTAAAGCAAGCCAGCCCGGCCCCTGGATCATTTCTATCTATATACCGATACATCTCTTTAATTTCTTCTTGCTTATATATATTATTAGCTTCTTAATCTTAATTATATATGGATCGATCGATCCTTGCCGCGCGCCTATCGATCATAGCAAGCAAGATTAGCTAGCTCTATCTACCAGCTGCTACTCATCCGATCCATATATATATATATATCCGTCCAAGCAAATTCAAATCATGGATGATAGCTAGCTGCGCGCGGCGTAACTTCATTATATATATAGCTAGCAGCAGCAGCAGCTAGATTGCTGCTGGCCTCCATCGATCCATCATACACACATATATATATACTAGCTCCCAATTCCGTATGTATGCATACATAATTTAATTAAGATCCTATCTATCTATATATCGGCCTGGGCGCTAGCTAGGTGTAAGTGGCCGGGTGTGGATGATGTATGAGAAATTGATCAAGATTAATTATATATACATACATACTCCCATCCAAATTATATATAAATTACATCGATCATAGATATATACAGCAAGCAAGCAATTGATCGAGTAGATGATGAAGAAGAACAGCGGCGGCGGCCATCATGCTACGATGATGATGAGCAGCAGCAGCGGCAGTTCAGATCTGCAGATAGCAGATGCAGCAGCCAATAAGCCCTATCATCACTGTCCTGGCTGTGGTCACACCCTCCAACCCAACCCGGTCCGTTACTCCATCATCACTTCAATTATACCCAAGTCATTAATTAACAGCTATGCTATGCGGCGTGTAAATAATTTGATTTTCTTCCTTGTTAATTAGCTTCTTCTTTCATTTAATTTGTTTACCATTCGATCGATCTTAATATGATCGAGTTTGTGTACGTACGTCTTAATTGGCCGATGATTTTGATTTTATTATTATGATAATATGGGATGAAGGATTGGGTGGGTCTGCCGGCCGGAGTGAAGTTTGACCCAACAGACCAAGAATTGATACAACACCTCGAAGCAAAAGTGGCGGTGCAGGTTGATAAAGAATCCAAATCCGGCGGCGGCCACCCTTTGATCGATGAGTTCATCCCTACCATTGAAGGGGAAGATGGCATCTGTTATACCCATCCAGAAAAACTTCCTGGTACGTACGTACGTATATGCCGCATTCCAATTAACTTCATTTAATTTGTACGCACGCACGCACGTCCGTACGTAACTACTCCTAATTAACACTTACTTCCGTAGTGGAGTATATAATAAGCTAGCGCAGCTAGTAAACCTGCTGCTGCGCGCTGCGAATTAATTATATTATTATAATATAATAATGAATTTGGTATACATGTACTGTATAGGTGTGAGACGAGATGGGTTGAGTCGGCATTTTTTCCACAGGCCGTCGAAAGCGTACACAACGGGGACGAGAAAGAGGCGGAAGATTCAGACGGAGTGCGAGGTGGCGGGGGAGACCCGGTGGCACAAGACCGGGAAGACCCGCCCGGTGATGGCCCACGGCAAGCAGAGAGGGTGCAAGAAGATACTCGTGCTCTACACCAACTTCGGGAAGAACCGCAAACCCGAAAAGACCAACTGGGTCATGCACCAGTACCATTTGGGTCAGCACGAAGAGGAGAAGGAAGGCGAGCTCGTCGTCTCCAAAATCTTCTACCAGACGCAGCCCAGGCAATGCACCACCGCCCCCGATCGCCGTGACAGCGCCGCCAGCTCTTCTTCATCTTATAAGGACGTCGCCGCCCAATCCCACTCTCATCCAGATAATAATCAACTCATCTCGGTTGCAGTTGCTTTGCAAACTCAACCCACCGACGACCACCATTATACCGCCTCCTTCCACCCTTTCACAAAACACGACCACGACTTTCATCACGTAAGTACCCTTAGCTTATTCATTATTAACATACTTTTATTTTACCAATAATTAAAACGTACGTACGTACTCTCCATATTTTAAAGGTCGATCGACGTTTCCCTGATTTGAAGCAAGCTCTGGCTAGCTTTTTAATTGTCTACAAAGCTAGACTTCATTATTTGGTCAATTAATTTGATACATTTCAATCTCCCCCGGTCAACTTCTTGCTTTAATTGCAGTTTAACAAACAAATCATCCACTACGTACTTAATTCTAGGTGGTACCATACCTTTGTCCACATAGACCAATGAGAATGTAACAGTTGAATTATTTAAATCTAAATTAAAAATCACAAAGTGATGTTGTCCAATCAAATGAATGGTAGGTACGGTACCCCATTTTTTAGAAGGATACCAGAGTTGTCACCTTAATTTAATTACTATACTCCGTATAAGTTTGTAGACATATGGACGGTACTTAATTAGTTGTTGCTAATTTAAGGATAAATACAAAGTGTGCGTAGGTTAATCCACACAGTTTAATTTCATTTCATTCTACCTCTATGCTACAACCATATAGTAAGGTGAACTAAAGTAAAGTAAAGCAAAGTAGTCTTCAATTTGCGGCTATCTGTAAAGATCGAGTTCCATCCTACAACGTAATTAGAAGAATAAACATCATTTTCATATTATATCAATGTGACTTAATTTTGCCAACTAATTTAAATTTTTGGTAGTAATTTAAGAAAGGGAAAATGGTACGTCAATTAGGTCATTCTACTATTTCCCATTTAAGTCCCTAACTCCCTATACTAAAAAAGTATCATAAGAGTAAGCTTACTTTAAATAAATAATCAATGTGGCCATTTAATCTTTTTTTGATATGTAATATGTAATAACATACTACGTATATCTTATACTCCCTCCGTCCCAGGGAGAAGTCCCCGGGTTGACTTTCACACATATTAAGGAAATAAAGTTACTGAGGGGTAAATTTTAATGTTTGGCACTGCTTCGACACTGTTTGGCACTGTTTCGACACTGTTTGGCACTGTTTCGACACTGTTTGGCACTGTTCCGACACTATTTGGCACTGTTTTGCACTGTTTGACACTGTTTTGATGTAGGATAATTTTCCATTTAGGGAAATGAGAACTTTTTGTTGGGACTGCCAAAAAAGGAAAGTGAGAACTTGACCCTGGGATGGAGGTAATATTAAAAAACTTAAAAAGTTGTTTAAATTTGAAGAAATATAGATAAAAATTGTGAAAATTTTTAAAATGTTAAAAAAGTCAACATTTTAGCATTTTCGAATTTTTTTTGTCTATTCTACAACTATTTAACAGATCTTTACATTTTTTTAATTATTTTAATTTCATTGAATTATTTATCTATTTTTACATTTATACAAGGTTTTATATATTATTAGATTTTTTTAAATTATACGGAGTATGAGTTTATATAAGATTTGTGAATACGCCCAATTTATTTTAAAAAATAACGGGTCAAAATGATTGATTGACTGTATTTTGAAAGTAAACATATGAGTTAATTATCACCAGCACCACCACCTCCAGTCATTTGGGGGAAAATGCCAAATTTATTATGAATTCCATATTTTTGGCATAATTCAGAATGATTTAAGATGACAGAATAAAAATGTTGGCATTGTCAAAGAGAAATATGCCATGTTTTTGGCAAAAGTCAAAAGGATTCAAGTTGGCATTCTCATAGAGAAATATGCCATTTTTGTGGAATTTAAAAAAAAGTGGCATTTTTTACACCGATCGGAGGTGGTGGTTCAGGGAGGTAGTACAAGCGGTGGGAAAGGTATCCATTTTTTTTTTAATTTTTTATGGAGTTTTACTATTTTTAATTAATTTTCAAAAAAAAATATTTAAAACAATTTTTTTTCTTGTTTTTTATTTTTATAAAAATTTTATTAATTTTTTTATTATTTTTCTACGAATTATTGAAATTTTTTCGGATTTATTATGAATTAAATATTTAATTATGACTGTTGGGCCGCGGGTATGCGGTGCCAGCAACAGCCAGCCTGCCGGTGCAATCGAACCGCGTGACGCTTCGCATGTGCTATAAAGGGGGAGGAGTGTGCTACACTATCAGCGATTGCTTTTAGTGTAGCGGTAAGCGCAACGATCCACAATTGGTATCAGAGCCAGGTTACGGGTTCGACCCCCGGCAACAGCATGCTGCGCAGTTGTAGGCTGGCAGGTGCTGGGGGGGGGGAGATTGTTGGGCCGCGGGTATGCGGTGCCAGCAACAGCCAGCCTGCCGGTGCAATCGAACCGCGTGATGCTTCGCATGTGCTATAAAGGGGGAGGAGTGTGCTACACTATCAGCGATTGCTTTTAGTGTAGCGGTAAGCGCAACGATCCACAATGACTTTTAGCTATCTTTTACTAATATTTAAAGGAGGGGTAAGAATGGAAGGAAGAACGGAAATTGTCCTAAATAGGACTAATGAGTTTCTAAAAAGCACAAATAGAACTACTACTTTTAAAATTCCCTAAATAGGACTAAACATTGATTTTCTACCCTAAATACCCCTTAGAGTATTAATTCATAATGAAATTCTTTAATTCATAATAAAAATCATAAAAAACGTAAAAAATATTTTAAAAACGTAAAAAAAATTATAAAAAATTTATAAAACATTTATAAAATAAAAAAATTAATTTTTTATTTTTTTTATTTTTTTTAAAAAAATAATAAAAATAGTAAAAACCCATAAAAATGAAAAAAATTATGGATACCTTTCCCACCGCCTCCCGCCGCCTCCCAGCACCACCACCTCTGATTGGTGAAATTTCTTCCACTTTTGGTAAAAAAATGCCATATTTTTCTGAAAATGCCAAAAAGATGGCATAATTACTCTACAATATGCCAACATTTTCATTGAATATGCCATCATTATGACATTATTTAAAATGTTGGCATATTTTTCTCCGGTGATGGGAGCTGGTGGTGCTGGGGGTGGCAGGGGTGGTAATGTTTTTTTTTTTAATTTTATGATTTTTTTCTTTTAAAAAATATTTTTTAAAAAAAATATTTTTATTAATTTTCTATAATTTTTTTTGCGATTTTTAGTATTATTTCGATTTTTATTAATTTTTTTTATGATTTTATTAGTAATTAAAACATTTTACAAGTTACAAGGGTATATTTGTCCAAACACACATAAATAGTCCTATTAAGGGAATTTAAAAAAATGTAGTCCTATTTGTGAAATTTTGCCACTTTTTAGTCCTATTTAGGGAATTGACTCAAGGAAGAAATGAGTATGTTTCCAATAGGACCACTATGGTCCTATTTTGAAATAAAAATATAGCAAGTCCTATTTTGAGTTTTTGCCATAGTTTTAGTCCTATTTGAAGTAACTTTTATAAACATATTTATGTGATGGTTTTTTAGTAGTAGCACTTAAGTAATTAATAGATCAGAAATAATTAATGAGTCTATTTTCCCTTTCTCTCTAAAAAATAGGTTTTGTGTAAAATTAAAGTGCTAACATTATGCTAGGTAGCTCGACATGGCAGCACGGCTTCATAACATATCGATGTCTTTGAAATTCGATCATATATCTTTAATTAATTAATATGTTTCCCGTCGTTCTTCCATTACTATATGGATTTAAAAAAGAAAACATACTTAATTAATTGATATGTTTGTGATGGAAAAACAATTGAAGTGGAAATGAAAATCGTCATGGATCCGCAAATTAAAATAAGATGGAAATATAATTGAATTAATCTTAAGAATGATGTTGATATTTAGTTAGTCAATCTTGATTTTTTCAGCGAATGATCTCTAAATTGACTGTTTATATATTTATATACAGAATGATTATTAATATGAAAATGAAATGAAAAATATTATTTGTCAAAAGTATTATCATAAAAATTTAAAATTATTAAATTTTAGTTAAAATAATTGGTCAAAGTATTTTTACTAAAAGATGGCTGACCAAAATGAGAATTGAGTTTGGGGCATTCATGCATGCAGGCGGGCGGGGGGCTTCCAGTGGCAGCCGAAGCTGTAGGTAGTAGAATGATGGTAATGGAAATTCCGGGGACAAGGCCGCCGCATCAGCAGCTTCAGTGCGAAGGCGGCGGCGGGCATGATCAAAATACAAGCGCTGCCTCTGCGGCGGCGTTGCACAACATAAGCAGCAGCAGCAGGCCACACCCCATCATCTCTCCGCCGCCCCTCCTCTACCACCATGACCCGCCCTACCACGTCCCAACTCCAAGGATCATACTCTCCAATCACAACAACTTCCAGGTATTCATCAATTATATATATTATTTTAGTCATACATGGTATAATTATGACTACTTGGTATTATTGAATTCATCCAAACATACATAATCTACATTCCAGCACAGCGAAATCGCGCCAGCGCATCAATTAATTAATGAAACAATAAAAGCAATCAAGGCTAGTATATATATACACCCTATAATATTAATATATAGTACTCCCTCCGTATATAATTACGTACGTGCAAATTAATAAAAGAAGATACAAAATACGGCGGCCGGGTTACGACGTTAAATTATTTTTTTTGCGAATTAAATTTGCAATATCATATAGCAATGTACGTAACATAATGCATGCCAGCCAAGTAGCTAGGAAACAAGGCAAGTAATAATAATGTGTGTTCTCAGCTCACACAACAGTGCATGATCATGTGCATGATGATGTTTGGGATGCTGTTTTTTCAGCAGCAGCAGCATGATCATCATAATAAGCTTGGAAGTAGAAGGTCTGCTTCTGAATTGGAAGAACTCATTATGGGGTGCACTTCTTCTACTACTCATCATATCAAAGAGGTAGGTATTTATTTAATTAACTTTGTCTATATATAAATCTACTTTTTCTTACTACCTTCTTCAATTTTCAACATTATTATGTTATGGGACAATTACCTAATTAATATCGGTAAGTAAAAGCAAAATTGAGCACAAAGTTTAAATTCACAAAATAAGACCAACTCCATTCTACCCTTTCCTTGTCATGTTTAATAGGACTTTTTTAAATAATAATTATAAAATTTAAAAAATGTAAAAATAAATAAATAAAATATACATGCCTCAACCACCACCTCAATAATTCAAAAAATGAATTATTGAATTATAATTCAATAATTTAATCCAAAATGACTCTATAATTCAATCTGAGATCTTCACCTAGTTACCGAGCTTGCTTTTAGCTAATTAATAATAAAATTATGCACTCAAAATTTATTTCAAATTTAAAAGCCAATTCAATGCATTTCATTCCGACTATATTCTTTTTATACAGCTAGAAAAGAAAAGATAAGGTGAGCAGTCCAAAAAAGAAAGTAGAGAAAGCATTCAGAAACACATGAATGAAGTAACATATTAAAGTTAAAAAACAATTAGGTAGCTAGGACGACAAAAGACGAGGAGATATCATATATGCTTGTTACTTTACACGCCCGTATATATGATTTAAATTTAATCAAGCAATATATATATATATATATATATATATATATATATATATATATATATATATATATATATATATATATATATATATATATATATATATATATATATATATATGGTCTAAATTAAAGGCGTAGGAGATAGAAGTATATGGAGGGTGGGGGCTTAGAAACCTTTTCCTTTTCTGCTTTATCTCTTTATTCCTTCTTATTAAATGCTCTTGCCTTCTAATAATTATATACCACTCCATTGTCACGTTAATAACTCCACCGCTTTCCCTTATATTCCGCGACTCCAAACCTAGCTTTACCGGCGTATTACCTACTTTAGCCAGTGTCTCTTTGTAACCGTTTCTGTTTTTTAAAAAATGTTTTTTTAATGAAATGAGGAGAAGTGATTAAATAAAAGTTGATAGTGTTTGAGAAAAAATTAATTTTGAAAAATAAAAGGTGGTAGTGTTTGGTAAAATACGTGTTTTTTGTGTAATAGAAAAAGTAAAAGTACTTTTGACACGAAAGCCGAGAAAAATAAAAGTTAGTAGTGTTTGGTAAAATAAGTGTTTTTTAAGCCAAAAGCTGAGAAGTGCTTTTTTATAGCATTTGCAAAAATAGAAAATTATGCACTATTCCACCTTATTTAATTAATTTCCTGCCCTTCCTTTTTAAATTAGAAAATACAAAATACTTCATCCGTATCATATTAGTTGCAACATTAGAATTTACACATTATTTTGTTTTGAAAAATATTTTTGAATTCATCTCATTACAAAGTTTATAATTTGATTTTTAAATTTTTTTACGAATAGAGAATTATTAAATATAATGAGGATCAAAGTTGTGCATTGGCGAACGTGAAAAAGGAAATGGTGCAATTAAAAGATAACGGGTGATACTATGTAACTAAAACAAAAACAATTCATATAATCATATCATAAGTAGTAGTAATTCCTTAATGCACTATTTAGGTTAATGGCAAGCTTTTACAAAGATAATTACACAGCATGTGTATATGAAATGCCAAAATTGATGAAACATGAATGATGTGAAAGTGACAAATTATGTTTTTGTTTTGAAAATACTAATAAGGGAAAAATAATACTTGATTAATTAAGGGCAATCATTCTCCGATCCAAGAGATGTACAATACTATCCGGAGTTTCAAAACCATCACATGCATATACTCCTCTCTAGCTAGCTAGTTCATTCAGACATTGCGCCAAACTTTAGCATTTCTGGCCTTCCATAAACTCTAAAAGAACATAATAAACTCTTTTAATTTGGTGAACACGTACTACTAGCTAGCTAGCATGACTTGCGTAGCTCCCAATGCAAGAGTTTCAAAACCATCACATATAAACTTTGTATTTTGCCACTGCCATACCTCCTTTGAAGAACATGCTTAACTGTATGTGTCTTGTGCTTGGTCGCACATTGGACAACTTGGCCCTAGCTACATGCAGGAACCCGTTGGTAAGGCACGTCCGTACAAAAGACGCGCGCGCACTCTTTAGTTGGTAAGGCACCAAAATTAAATTAACATGCCTGTCGGGAAATAATTATCTCCTTGAGCGGTCGAGCAAACTTCCGCATGAAAGAGAGATTGACTCTCTCCACGTTGTAGGATCTTAACACACAATATGATCGCACAAGCTAGTGATAATATACGTAGGAATAAAGAAGAAGACACACAGTATTTTTCCAAAGGTGTGAAGCTCTATATAGCTTCATCACCAGTTTATTCAAATATAAATAAGCAAACATAAACCGAGGTGAGTGGTTGCTACAATTTAGCAACTCACCCATTATCTACTCCACTATGGTTTTACCAAATCAAAGCCTATTCATACTCCTATAAAGTTGCTAAGCATAACAAATCAAAAACCTTACTATTTCCTATGTAAATGTAATGCCACGCAAGGACTTATTTATGTAAATAAAAATGTGGCAAAAAAATAATGTAACAAGTTTAAACAACATTCTTCCCCTTAAACTTGTACCCATTTGAGTCACTTTATCCTTGTTACTCCCATCCTCCTTCGTAACTCTTCAAACTTCTGCTTAGGCAATGGTTTGGTCATCAAATCAGCCAACTGATCTTCAGTTCTTACATGCTCTACTTTCACTTTTCCCGTTTGCACACATTCACGAATGAAGTGGAACCTGGTGTCAATATGTTTGCTTCTATCATGATAAACTGGGTTCCTTGCCAATGCAATGGCAGATTTGTTGTCAATGTGAAGTGTGACTTGAATGTCTGAATCTCCCCTCAAGTTTTTCAGCATATTTGCAAGCCATATGCCTTGGCATGCTCCAGCTGTGGCTGCAATATACTCTGCTTCACAGGATGACAAGGCTACCACTTTCTGCTTTTGTGATGTCCATGTGATAGGCTTATTCCCCAGAAAATACACAACTCCACTTGTGCTTTTCCTGTCATCTATATCTCCAGCCAGGTCACTATCAGTGTAGCCTACAAGATCCTCAGTACTATCTTCTTTCTTGTAGATACACCCCATATGTAAGGTCCCTTTCACATACCTTAGAATCTGCTTTACAGCTCCCAAATGCAGTGTTGTAGGTGCCTCCATATACCTGCTCATTACCCCTACTGAGTAGGTAAGATCAGGTCTTGTGTGCACAAGATATCTTAGGCTGCCAATCATACTCCTATATGTGGTTTCATTTACAAACTCTTCCCCATTTGCATGCTTGCTCATCTTGGTTCTTGGTTCCATGGGCAAATGACACGGGTTACAATCTCCCATGCCAAAATTGTCCAACACCCGCTTTGCATAAGCTGTTTGACATAAGGATATTTCACCTTCCTTCTGACTTACTTCAATCCCAAGATAGTAACTCAGAAGTCCCAAATCACTCATATCAAAGGTCTGCTTCATTTCTTCCTTGAATGTGTTGATAATGATCTTGTTTGACCCTGTCAATATAAGATCATCTACATATACTCCAATTATCAAGATATTACCTTGTTCCTCCCTTTTGTATACTGCATGTTCATGAGGACATTTTGTGAAGCCAAGAATTTTCAAGCTTTGATCTAACTTGAAATTCCAAGCTCTAGGTGCTTGCTTTAGCCCATACAAAGCCTTTTTTAACCTCAGCACCAAGTGTGGTTTTTCTTCATCAATGAAACCTTCTGGTTGGGTTACATATACCTCCTCTTCTAGTTCCCCATTTAGGAAGGCGGTCTTTACATCCATATGGTGAACCTCCCACTTCCTTTGTGCAGCATAAGCCAAGAGCATTCTAACAGTCTCCATTCTAGCAACTGGGGCAAAGACTTCATTATAATCCACTCCATGTTTCTGCACATAGCCCTTTGCCACAAGCCTAGCCTTATGCTTGATCACTTCCCCATTTGGATCCTTCTTAAGCTTATAGACCCACTTGAGGCCTATTGCTTTATGTGTGCTTGGCAGATTAGTGAGTTCCCATGTGTCATTCTGTCTAATGGAGTGAATTTCTTGTTCCATAGCCTGCCTCCAGTGTTCATCCTTTGAAGCTTCTTCATAGGTGATTGGCTCTCCTAATGCTAGGAAACACAGTCCTGCCTCTTCTTCGGCATCCCTAGTAGCATCATAGATCTCCTGCAATGATCTATACTTCTTTGGACTGTCTGACTCTGAACTTGTATTTGTTTCAGAGTGCAGAGATGGTGATGAGGGTGTATTGATATTTGGCTCATGGGTTTCTGAACCTTCAGATGTGTCACTCACTGTTTGCCCTTCAGAGTTTTGTGTCACAGTGAAATTACTTCCACTATTTGTACCATGATAGTCTGCAATTTCCCAACACCAGCTTTTGTCCTCTTCAAAGATGACATCCCGGCTGATGAGTATCTTTCTTTGTCTTGGTTCTAACAGCCTGTAAGCTTTTGAGCCTTCTTCATACCCAAGCAACACAGATCTAACACTCCTATCTGCCAGTTTTGGAAGATGTGGTTTCACATTTTTTACATGAGCCACACATCCAAATACTCTGAGATGATGTATCTTAGGGATCTTACCAAACCAGGCTTGGTAAGGAGTCTTTCCATCTACCCCTCTTGTATGAACTCTGTTCAATATATATACTGCAGTCTTCACAGCTTCCCCCCAATACTGAGAGGGAACTTGCTTGCTCTTCAACATGCATCTTGCCATTTCGACTATGGTTTGGTTTCTCCTCTCAACCACGCCATTCTGCTGTGGGGAATAAGGTGCAGTGTAAAACCTCTTTACACCATGATCTTCACAGAATTCTCTAAAGGTTGCAGAAGTGAATTCCCCTCCTCTATCACTTCTTAAGCCTTTGAGTTTCTTGTCAGTCTCAACCTCAACACCCACTTTAAATTTCTTAAAG